GGGAATGAAAATTTATAAGGAAAAATGGACACTTAAAGGTGAGCTAGCATTGCCATGGTAATAAACCTTGATTTTCCTTATATATATACACATACAAACTCATTCTCATTGCCATCATCAAATTCATTATTTATAGCCACTTATCAAACGGACCGTAAGTGTAAGTGCATGCTGCGTGCATGCCCACAGGTTATATAATACAATTAAATAATTTGATGAAAGTAAAAGGGTAATAAACACGGGAACACTGCACAAATAGACAAGTAGTGAACCCAAATTCAAAGACACTGCAAGTTCTTGAAAATTCACTTGTTAAACATGTATAATGTGTTGTACGAGAACTCGTTTTCTGTGGCATGTCGATCGTCCAAAAACGTAGCTGAAGCACTGTTTAGTCTTAACTCAATTGGGGTCACTTCCTTGAAATTTCATTTATGGCCACTCATCATTTTCCACTTATTTTTTCACTTCATTCATTCACTCTCTTTAGACTACTTTTTGCTTTCTCTTTTAAGAGATCTCATTTTCATACACAAAGAGTACAACAAATCTAACATATCCACATTTGGAATCTAGATAGATCCATATATATAATATGGTGTACTCAAATGCAAAACCACAATTTAAAGGCATGATTCTTCATCATGATAATCTCAGTCTATATTGCCTAGGGACAATTTTGCAATGGCCACAATTGTAATCTTCAAAAATAGACCATTAATATGCAATTTTAAATCATAGTCATTCATTTGTTTGACTACATAATTCTAGTAATAATAAATAAAATTTATAAAAATATTAGTTTTAAATCCAAAATAGTAGTAGCATCAAATAGCACTGAGTTAAGGCCGTGTTTGGTGGTAGTGTTTGAGGTAGCGGTTAGCGTTTTGATCAGTCAAAATACTATTAGAAAAAAAAAAATAGAGTGTTTGACAAGGTAGCGGTGTGAGTAGTGATTAGCGGTAGAAGTAGCGTTTAGGTAACTTTTCTCAAACGTTAAAAATAGTAGCGTTTAAGAGTAGCGGGTAGCGTTTGTTAATTTTTGGTTACTTTCTTTTGTAACAATTTATATTATAATTATTAATATATTTTAGTAATGCAACCGCTAATTTTAACAAACACACATGCTATCAACCGTTACTTTGACAACTAACCTCTACCCACTACTAATTTGACAGCTAGTCGCTACCTTAACAGTTACCCGCTACTCGACCACTAAAAGCTACTCGCTACCGCTAGCTTTGCCAAACAGGGCCTTAACAAATTAGAGATAATCTTCCCCAGTAATCACTCTGTTTGTAAATGCAGTTTGTAGGACGTTTAGTTTCAACTATAGGAATACATTGCGCAGAATTCATCTTCCCCAGTAACTCAGTAAGGTATTAGCCATCTAATTATATAATTCTTAGTTCTAATAAAAAAGATCGGAGTTAGAATTAGAGACTAGTGTAACTGTAAGTGAATCAATGATTAGAGGCTAGTGTAACTGTAAGTGAATCTTCCATTTTTGTGTTTACGATTTTGTTTTTAATTTTTTATATATGACGAAGATGATGATTCATTTAATAATTTTGGTGGAAAAATTGTAGATCTTAGATACTCTGGATCTTATGTTGATTATTAATAAACCAGCAGGCAAGAGTTAAACTTAAGACTAAACTTTGCATTTTGCTTTCTTCAATTTGAAGGTTGAAACTTCAATAACAATGGCCATTGTGAATAGCAGTTTTTTTTTTTTTTTGGTTGTGAAATAATTGGAAAACAGTTTTTTATTTAATTATATAAAATTTTAAGTCAATTGGATATATGAATGGACAAGATTGGTCTTTAAAAATAAACGGCCGAGATTAAAAATAATTACAATAGCCACAATTTTTCAGTAGCCATTGCCCATACCATAAACTTATCACTTATTTTTAATTTCATTTTTGTTGGGGAATAATTTCATTTTTAATTTGGTTTTTTTTTTTTTTTTGCAAGTTTATCTCTTGTTGCTTCACCCAATAACACATTCTTTCTGTTAAGGCACTTATCTAAATTTATATAAATCTATTGCCTAAATTGTATTGGACAAATGTTGTAAACAAACGGGTGTACAGTAATTTACAGTGTGGCAAGAAGAAAAAGAAAAAAAAATTATTATAGTATGGGTAACTTTTGATAGTTTAAGGGTAAATTTTGTGAGAATAAATGTAAATTGATAATATGGGTAACTTTAGATAGTTTAAGGGTAATTTTGTGAGAATAAAATAAACATTGGTAATAACGATAACTTTTATGGGACTAAGGGTAACTTTTGTGATAATATGGATAACTTTTGGTATACAATAACCGAATGTACATATACACCCGATGCATGCAAAAACTTCTAATTATATTATATACAAAATTATCTTTATTAAATTGCCATATATTAACACCCGTATATTGGGATAGAGTTGGGTGCATCTAAAGGTAGTTTTTTTTGCTCATTTGATACTTTTTTTTGTTCATATTAGGCTTGTTTGTTTGACTAAAAAAAATATGGGAATTGAAACTCCTTAGGTGGTTTTAAGTGGCACACGTGCCAATACACAAGTTTGATGACCTTAAATATGTGTAATTATTTAGCGTGAAAAATAAAATTTGATGATATACATCAAGAGTTCGAGACTAATCTAACAATATATTGCACATTAATGTGTGATTTTTATAAATTATTAGTAAAAAAAAAGCATGTAATCGGAGCAAACTTGGGCCTTGTTCACTTTACCTAAATTTTACTGAACTGAAATTAATTAACCTAAACTGGCTGAACTTAATTAATTTTTATTGAACTGAAATTAATTTTACCGAATCGAAACTATTTTTACTAAGCTAAAATTACTTTTTACTGATTCTCTATTATATTTTTTCCTTAAAGAACTTGATTTTTGTAGAACTGAAATTATTTTTACTAAACTCATTTTTACTAAATTGAAATTATTTTTCTTAAACTAAAATTATTTTTACTTAATATTATATCATTTTATAAAGATGAAGTGAATAATGCATTAATATATAAATAGTGTCAAAATCAAAATTTCAAGTAATAAGGAACCAAGGGAGCAAATATAGTTTAAATCACTCTCTTTATATATAAAGAGTGAAAATTTTAATTTTGTATTAATAATTATACTCTGTATCTTTTATTTCCTATTAACCCTTAGCTTCAAACATAGCATTTTACATCACTCATCTCTCCCTCCTAAAACAATGTGTTGGTCAAATGGATGCTCTAATAAAGGAAATTATCCCAAAACTACCATTTAAATGACCACCTTTTGAGAACAATTACCATTTAATCTTTTTTTTTTTTTTTTTGAAAAAACTACTACAAAAACTTTGAGTAGAATTACCACTCTTGGTTTTTCGGCAAAATCTTCGATTGAGGATGTCCACTTTTTGAGTATTACGATTCAATTGCCCCAAATCCCCCAATTTTGTAAAACCTTAAATTTAATCTTTGAATCATGAACCCTAATTTAAGATTAAATTGATTCCCTCTAGGTTTTCTCCCTGAGAGGGTTTTCATTACTAGGTTTTTTCAAATTTTTCTAAGGTTTTCTTTTTCTCTTCTTCCTTTTCTCTTCATCTCTACCATCTCTTTCCTCTTGGTCTCAGTTGTGAATCTTTGTAGGGGCTTCCATTGGCATTCTTACCAGTGGTAAGCCCCCAAGCCCCCAAAAACCTTTTAATTGATTTCAATAAATAAATCTCATCCTTGAGATGATGGTTTTTCTCTTGATTTTATTTTCTTTTTATGTTTGTATGGCAAAAATTGAAGATCAAAATTCCAAGTAAAAGTTTAGGGATAACTTTTGAGTGGGTACAATAAAATTGTAGTCATTATATTAGATAAAATCTCAGCCATTTATTTATTTTGATTATTATAAACCGTTGATTTGAATAACTATTTAATCTTTTTAAAAGAATAATTGACCAAAAATAATAATTAAAAAAAAAGCACACGTTCTTCAAATTAGTTTCTCCTTCAATTCAGTATTTTGATCGACGATCATGATCTTCTCTCTTTTGTAATCTTTATCTCTTTATTAAGATTTTGAAGGATTATGCCATATTATATACGAAGTACAATATAGATAAACGAAAATTTCTATTCTTGCTTTTTCAATAAAAAAAAAACTAAAAAAAAAAACATAAGAATATAAATATGGTAGTATTGTATTGAAGATCTAGAATAACAATTTCAAATCCATGGTGTATTTATTAAACTTGAAGCTCTAACCCATTAAATTAAAATGAGGAGGGAAAGGATCGAAGGAACATTCTCACGATCAAGAAATTGTGACATTAATAAGAGTAATCCAGAAAAAGATGGAGATGAATTTAAAAACATAAATTTGATTCCGGATGAGAGAAAAGCAAAACAAAGTATTGATGAAGGAGAATTTTTTTTTTTTGAAACCGATGAAGGAGAAACTGATAGAACGTTATTTTTTTTATTTTTTTTTTCAATTTAAAAAAAAAAACTTAAAAAGTCATCCCAAATTTCAAATCAACAGTTTATATGAAGGAATGAGATTTGATCTAATACAATGACTACAATTTTGTTGTAATCATTTAAAAACTGTCCAAAGTTTAGAGATAGAAAACAAAATTGATAAATAAAAAAGCATAATAGGAATCTAGTCTTCTCATCCAAAAGAAAACTCATCCATAATATAACATTCATAGTGTGGTGATTCATATTCACAAAAAGGTCCACAAATCAAGTCATATATGTTAGTACGATTTGTAGTATCATGCACTTATAAGTCCAAACAATTCATATTGGTTTTATAATACCCCGTACATGTATATATATATATATATAAGATTTATTATCCATTTATTTTATTTCAAAAATCGGATTATATGTGTGTGTATATGTATATATGTATATGTATATCTATATGTATATATGTATATATTATATGCATATATATACATATGTATATACATATATAGAGATTGGATCATGTGAAAACAAACCTAAAGCTGAAAACTGAAAACAGATGATCTAGACCATTGAATTTTCATCTGACGGATTAGATTACATTCGCGTTATTTGTAATCTTGACCGTCCATTCTCTCTGCTCTATTTTTATCTTTCTTCAATCTCACGATATCACTGGTTCTCTATCCTTCTCCCAAAAAATCATCAAATTTCAGAGGAATTTGCTTCAATCTTCATCAATAATTTGCTTCAATCTTCATCAATTTCGTCTTTAGCTTCAAAATTAAACCTGAAAAGTGAGTTTTGCGTTTCAACAATCAATTATGTGAGTTAATCATTTTCGTCGCTGAATATTCATCCCATTGAAGCGAGTTTTGAGCTTTCTCGATCCTCCATTGAAGCGAGTTTGAGCTTTCTTCTCCATTGAAGCGGCTTCTCAGGTAGTATTTCTTAAATTATCGACTATCAATTTCACAATCTAGGGTTTATTTCTAGTTAATTGCTCGAATGTTTTTGTTATGAAATATAAATTGTTGTTTGGATTCGAAATTTGTTGAATAGCATGCGAATTTTGTCGATTCAAGCATTTAATTGTTTTTAGATTTTATGTGTCATGTATTGTGAGTTTGTGACCCTTGAATTTATGTAAAATTGGGGGATTAGAGCAATCTTGAGCTCTTCATTGTGCCTTTTGCTTGGTCGGTTTGTTGTCACGGATTCATGGGGGAATTCGAGTAGTTTAGCATCTGTTTCTTGTGATTGTACTGCCTTGCATTTTGATGCAGAGTAAAGATGAGAAATAGGGTTACATTTTTGGGAACTAGCAAGCTGAACTTGGTGAAATTGTATAATTTCTTGGATTATATTTTCTTTATGTTTAGTACTTTTAAGGCTTTATAAAGAGGCTTCCATTGCAAATATTAAACAGATTTCTACATGTGAAGGAGACAGAAAATTGAAGTATGGCGATCATCATGGTTTTCTCGTAATTACACTTATTGACACGCCAAGAGCTTATGCTGATCTCAAATCTGAGGAACTTGGTCAGGTGAGTAGACAACTACTAGTTTATTTTAAGTTTATATTGACTAAACCTGTGGTAATGAGGACGAAATGATTTGTCTCTCTGAGCTCAGGGTGAAGCTATAGCTCAAAACATAAGGTCTATGTTTGGACTGAGAGTTCCTGTCATCTCAATAGTCACCGGTGAAGGTGGTTTTGGGGGAGCTCTGGCCATCTGTTGCTGCAATAAATTGTTTATGCTTGAGAATCCTGCTTTCTATGTTGCTAGGTTTTCTTCGCATCTATTGTCTATTTTTGGTTTCTTATTATTATTCAAATTCCTTCATCATTTTCCAATACATGCTTACCTTATTATTTCCCTTTTGACATTCCTGAAGCATCTATTGTATATGAATTTTTCTCTTGCTAGATAGTTAATAAGCTTTCATGGGATACAGCCTTATTAATTTCAGAAGAATCTATCTTTTTCATGAAAAGGCTGCTGAAAACATGAGGATAACAGCCCAAGAACACCTTCGGCTAAAAATTGATGATGTTATCATTCCTGCAAGCTTTTCTAAATTCTCAAATTTCTGCCTGAAATCAACATGATTTGTTTCGACACTTGGAATGCGTTCATTTGGATTGCATGCTTATTCCACATAATTGGCAGGTGTGATACTTTTGTGTTCTTTGTGTGATATTCTTTCTGATTATTTGTCTCGAACACTCTTCTTTTTTCTTTTTGCTGTTATTCTGAAATGTTGATTTGAAGCAAATTTCTTGTAGAGACATACTTCGTATACCTTAAAAATATTTGGGTCTAAATTATGTGATTTTGCAGATTGGTGAGTGTGTTGCTAACTGGTGGAGGCCCAATTTTGAAACAGTGATGTATCCCTACTGCCCTCCTCACATCACAATGAGTTAATAGCTATGGAGTATATTGTTTTTGTGTGCCGGAAGCCTATTAGCTTAATTGGTCGAGCATTGTGCACTTGCATTGCACATGATGTGGGTTCGAATCCTACATAGGCTTACATGTAGTGATCTTTTTAAAATGTAGTAAAAATGAATATAATTAGCTTATTTTTATTTATAACGACTTTTATAATTACCTGAAGTTTATATATAGTTACCTTATTTTCGTATATAATGACCTTTTTGTAAATGTCATATAGTTACCTTATTTTTATATATAATGACCTCTGTGGAAGTGTCATCAAAATTGATATATATATATATATATTGACCTATGTGCAAGTGTTATCAAAATAGATATAGTTACCTTATTTCTATATATAGTGACCTTCGTTATTTTTATATATAGTGGCCTCTGTATAAATGTGGTCAAATAGATATAGTTACCTTATTTTTATATATAGTGACCTTCATTATTTTTATTTTTATATATAGTGGCCTTTGTATAAATGTGGTCAAAATTGATATAGTTACCTTATTTTTGTATATAGTGACCTTTATGTAAATGTGGTCAAAATTGATATAATTATCCTATTTTTGTATACAGTGACCTCTAAGGAAATATTTTAAAAATTGATATAGTTACCTTATTTCTATATATAGTGACCTCGATGTAAATGTCATCAATTTTTAATATAACTCGATATAATTACCTTATTTTTGTATATAGTGACCTTTGGGTTGTTTCACACCATCAGATTATCTAGTGAATATTCAATGGCTAAGATTGCTTGTTTTTAGTTTTCACCATAAGCACTGTTTTCAGCGGAACCTCCCCGTATATATATATATATATATATAGGGTCGGGATCCGGTGAGAACCACCCTTTATGTGAGGACACTCCTTATGTATGAGGACAAATCTAAACCTTAGGATCAAACAATATCAACGGCTGCGATATACTGCTGCGATATATCAAACATATACTCTGCTGCGAGCTTCAATTTAAGTGAGGTTCAAAAATTTCAACATTATTCAGTTCGATTTTTGTCAAATTTCAGCAGCAACAACAATCAACAACCTTCATAGATTATACAGGTAAATAATCAACAAAAGTTTTAGTGTTCTCCGAATGTATTTTTCTTAATTTTTGTTAATATTTTTCAATTGCATGTTAAGCTTAGTGTTTGAGGATTTCAAATTGTGTAGTTCGAATTATTTTCGTTAATTGCATGTTTGCATGATAATTTTCGATTTTTGAGGTTTGTTCTGTTCTCATTGAATTACATGTTTAATTGCATCAATCGCCAGTTATTGAATTGCATGTTAATTGCATGGTAATTTTCGATTTTTAAGGTTTGTTCTATTCTCATTGAATTGCATGTTTAATTGCATCAATTATTCATTTGATTGAATTTACTTCTTTGAAATTTTTTGAATCAAATCAATAATTTAGGTTTGATAAAGATTGAAAATTTGCAATCAAATTTAAAATGAGCAAATGAGCAAACCTAAATATTTGTAATAATATAAAAAAAATATAATGAGCAAACATAATTAAAATGAGCAAATGAGCAAAATAAGTTGGTAATGGTGGTGGTGATAGGGTGTAGGGGACAGAGGCGGCAGCGGGGGAGTGTAAGTAAGACAGGTTGTGGTGGTGATAGTGGTGGTGGTAAGGTGCAGGGACATGGGCGGAGGAAGGAGAGAGAGTTTGGTGGTGGTGGTGATTGTACAGTGTAAGAAAGAGGGTGAGAAATGGCATTTAGCTCATTAACATGAGTTGCAGAAGCAGTGAAAGTGAAAGAGATGGTTGTAGCTAATAAGCAAATATTTAGTTGCTCATTTATCAAATGAGCAAGTAATTAGTTGCTCATTTGTCAAATGAGCAAATACTTAATTGCTAATTACACAAATGAGTATTGAGTTATTTGCTCATTTGACAAATGAGCATTTAATTATTTGCTCATTTGACAAAAGATCAAAGAATTGTTTGCTTATTTAAAAAATGAGCATTGAGTTCCTTAGTGCAATTGCCTGTGCACAAGCCGCACCCCCTTCTTCTTGGTCTGTTTCCTGCATACCAACCACACTCCCATTTTCCACTTCCTTGCACAAACCTATCCCCCCTTCTTGGTTTGTTAGTGGTTGTGCTTCTTAGATTGAGCACTTCTGTGAGCTATTTGCTCATTTGACAACGTCCTCATATGCTATATTGAATTCTATATATGCTAGGTTTTGCAAATCACAGTGAAGGGTAGCATTATCAAGTTTTCAAATCATCTAGTTTCTGTTACCAAAGCATTGAGTCCCTTGGTTTTCTTGCTTGCACACAAGCCCCACCCCCTTCTTCTTGTTCTGTTTCCTGCACACCAACCACACCCCCTTCTTACAATTCCTTATACAAACCTATCCCCCCTGCCCCCTCATCATTCTGTTCCACTTCTGATTTTTGAAGCTGATTTCAAATCTATTTTAGATTATGAAATTATTATGTGTGTGTGTGTGTGTGTGTGTGTGTGTTTGTGTGAGTAAGTGTAAGAGTTATGCTGTAAGTAGTAATTAGTATGGTTAAAAACATAATTCAGCAACATAATGTTCTGGTATGAGATTTTTAATGAGCTTCCTAAAACTATTTTATGGAATTGTTATTGACCTGTTATTTCTATTATATTAAATGTTAGAAATGATGAGCAACAACGAAGAACTTGACAGTCATTCTAGTACCATCACAAATGTGCCAACTACTCCTACAATAGTAGTTTCTCCTAAAGTAGAACCTTTGCTCACTCCTGGAGGAACAAAAGAATGGCTTCCAATATGCCCCAATGAGTTAAAACCAGCTATAAGGATGAAGTTTAATAATCTTGAAGAGGGCCTTGAATTTTATAAAAGATACGCATTTGCTGCTGGATTCAACACAAGAAAGTTTACAACTAAAAGGCAAAGAAGAAGCAAAGAATTGAAATCACAATATATCTTATGCAATAAAGAAGGATACAAAGAGAAAAGAAAGGCTACTGTTGAAAAAGATTTAAATAACAACGAAGGAGAAAGCAATGAAGAAAAAACTTCAATCAAAAGGAAGAGACTCGTTACTCGTGTTGGGTGCAAGGCACATATTGTCATAAAGCATTGTGATGATAACAAATTTATAGTGTCACAATTTCATGAGGGAGATACTCATGCACTTTATACACCTAGTTGCAATCTCTTCCAAAAAGAAGGGAGAAAAATGAACATATTGCACAAAAAAATAATTGTGAATAATTCTAAGGTACGACTTTCAAAGTCTCTTATGTTTCATGAATTCTCTATATGTTCTAATAAAACTAGTATGCTCATTTGAAAAATAAGCATTTAATTGTTTGTTTATTTGAAAAATGAGCATTAAATTGTTCAAATGAGCAAGCAAATAATTGAATTGTTTGCTCATTTTAAAAATGAGCATTAAATTATTTGCTCATTTAACAAACTGTTTTGTTCTTTAAATAGGTGAATATTGGTCCTGTTACAACTTTTCGAATGATGAAGGAAATTGTTGGAGGATATGATAACATCGGTGCATCTAAGCAAGATTTCAAAAATTTTCATAGAGATTTGAAAGCATACATTCAAGGAAGTGATGCTCAAATGTTCGTGGATAACTTTACCAACAAAAAGCTAATGTGGAACGCTTTTTTCTTTGATTTTGAGATGGATGAAGATTATTGCCTTTGTAGAGCATTGTGGGCTGACCCCCTTTGTAAAAAGAGTTATGCTCTATTTGGTGATATGGTATCCTTTGATACCACATACCAAACCAATAGGTAATTCATAAAAATCACAATTCATTTTTATGTTATAACTATAGCTTAACTTAATAACTTTGTTTTAAATGAACTTAGTATAATTTTTTGCTTATTTCACAAATGAGCATTGACTTATTTGCTCATTTCACAAATGAGCATTCAATTATTTGCTCATTTGACAAAAAAGCAAATAATTGTTTGCTTAATTCACAAATCAGCATTGAGTTATAAGCTCATTTGACAAATGAGCAATCAATTATTTGCTCATTTGTCAAATGAGCATTGAATTGTTTCAGTAGCTGATGACAATTCTGATTTCAGAATTTGATTTCTGATTTCAGAATCTGATTTCAGATTTCATAATCTGATTTTAGATTCTATTACAGATTGTGAGTGCATGTATGTATGTGTATGTGTGTGTGTGTGCGTGCGTGTGTTTGTGTCTAAGTACGTGTGTCTTTGTATTTATGTGTGTGTGTAGTTATTTGCTCATTTAAAATTTAATCTATATGTGTAAACAGGTACAACATGGTGTTTACTCCATTTATAGGGGTTGACCATCATAAGAGTTGTATTACTTTTGCTGCTGGTTTCATAGCAAAGGAAGATATATTGTCATTTGAGTGGTTATTCAGATCATTTCTCAAGGCAATGGGTGGAAATGAA